TTGACCCCTTTATAACTATGTAATGTTCTTTGTTGTCTCTATTGACAAGTTTGGACATAAGTCCAGTTTGCCTAATGTAAGTATAGCCACCCCTGCTTTCTTTGAGTAACCATTTGCATGATATATTTTTCTTTCAACAATTGAAAATGTTATGCCACTTCTAACTTCCATGGTTTCTGATGAAAATATAGTATCATTTGAATTGCTTTTTTTTTTTTTTTTTTTTTGGCACACATCCATCCTGCAGAATGAATTGCTTTTAATCTATACACGAGTGTCATTTTTCTCTCACTTTTTCAAGAGTTTGCTCTTTGATTTAGTATTCTTAATTTTGATTATGATATCTGTTGGCATGGATTCTTTGAGCTCATCCTGTTTGGAGTTTGTTCATGTTCTTGAGTCTGCAAGTTTATGTGTTTTGCTAAATTTGGAAAATGTTATTTGCCATTATTTCCTCTAATAATTTTTTAGTCTGACTGTCTTTCTTCTCTCCTGATGACTTGAATTTTAGACTCTTGGTCATAATCCCACAGATCCTTGAGATTCTGTTTGTTTGTTTGTTTGTTTGTTTTTCCTCCCAGTGTGTTTTCTCTCTTTTTTCATATTGAATCATTTCTATTCTTCTGTCTTCAAGTTCCCTGATTCTTTTGTCTTCCCTCTCCAATCTGCTGTTGAGTCCATCTACTGAGTTTTTAATTGTTTAATATTGCATTTTTAGGTCTAAAATTTCCATTTGGTTTTTCTTTATATCTTATATTCCTTTGCTGAGATTCTATTTTTTCATTGATTTTAAGCATGTTCATAATTTCTTAGTGAAGCATTTTTATGATGGCTGCTTTAAAATATTTGTCAGATCATTCCAACATCAGTGTCATCTTAGTGTTTGTTGATTATTTCAAATTGAGATTTTCCTGGTTCTTGTTATGAAGCATTATTTTTGAATTTTGGGTTTTATATTATGAGATGCTGGATCTTATTTAAATTCTTGGCCTCAGCACCCCTTCTCCAACACCACACCACTCTGGGAAGGAAAGATGCCACCCTTCTCCGCCATGTGGGGGTCTTTTTCTGGGTTCCCCACTCAATCTCCTTTGACACCCCTGGGGAGTACCTCATTACTGCTCCCAACATGGCCCCACTGGCTCTGTGGTGGTGGAAGGTCTTATTACCCAATGGATGGTTGTGAAAGTCCTAGTGGAAAAGGGTTCCTTGCTACAGCTGGGAGAGGGTGGAAATCTCAGCTCGCCACTTAAATTTTGCTGAGAGAGGTGGGAGTTGATCATTTTTTCCATAGTATTTGGATGGAGTAGGGAAGTTATGTTTAAATGTTTTATGTAGGCTGGGCGCGGTGGCTCACACCTGTAATCATAGCACTCTGGGAAGCCAAGGAGGGAGGATCGCTCAAGGTCAGGATTTTGAGACCAGCCTGAGCAAGAGCAAGACACCTGTCTCTACTAAAAATAGAAAAAAATTAATTGACCAACTAGAAATATATAGAAAAAATTAGCTGGGCATGGTAGCACATTCCTGTAGTCCCAGCTACTCGGGAGGCTGAGGCAGGAGGATCGCCTGAGCCCAGGAGTTTGAGGTTGCTGTGAGCCAGGTTGATGCCATGGCATTCCAGCCGGGGCAACAGTGTGAAACTCTGTCTAAAAAAAAATAATAAAAAATATGTTTTATGTCATATTGTCTTGTTCCTCTCCTGTTCCTACAGAGAATGAGATGTCCTTTCTTGGGGGTCTTCTGGTCTGTTCCTGTTGGTTTTCTGGGTTGCTGGCTCCTCTGGCACCCAGCATGTATGAGGAAAAATAGAAAAGAAAAAAACAACCCAGGGAGCCTACCACTATGTCATTCATTAAGTCCTCAGACTCCTAGCTGGTCTGCCTTTTTGTTTTCACCTTTCAGAGTGTTTTTGTAAGGCTTCATATGTAAGGTCTATGAATTTTAGTGGTATTTAGAGGGAGTAATAGGGAGAAGTGCTCCTTTCCATTACAGTCTTGAAGTGAAAGTTCTTTCAATCAATTTTTGATAAAGGTGCCAAATTAACTCAATAGCAAAAATATAGTCTTTTAACAAAAGGTGCTGGAACACTGAATATGCATGTGGAATAAAAATAGGCCTCAACTCTTTCTTTATACCATATAAAAAAATTAACTGATGAGGTCAGATACAAATACAAAACCTAAAACTATACAGCTTCTGGAAGAAAGAATAGGAAAAAATATTTAAGACTTACAGGTTGGCCAGGCATGATGGCTCATGCCTGTAATCCTAGCATTCTGGGAGGCCGAAGTGGGAGTAAAGCTCCAAGTCAGGAGTTTGAGACTAGCTTGAGCAAAAGCAAGACCCTGTCTCTACTAAAAATAGGAAGAAATTAATTGTCTAACTAAAAATATATAGAAAAAATTAGCCAGGCATGGTGACACATGTCTATAGTTCCAGCTACTTGTGGGGCTGAGGCAGAAGAATTGCTTGGGCCCAGAAGTATGAGGTTGCTGGGAGCTGGGCTGATGCCATGGCACCCTAGCCCAGGCAGCAGAGCAAGACCCTGTCTCAAAAAAAAAAAAAAAAAAAAAAGGACTTATGGGTTTGCAAATATTTCTTAGACATGATACACAAAGAACTAACCATAAAAGAAAAAAATTAATTTGACTGGATATCAACAAAATGTAAAACTTCCTTTTGAAAGACACCATTAAAAAATGAAATAATAAGTCATGGACTGAGAGAAAGTATTTGCCATTAATCTGTCTGACAAAGGAATATATTCATCATATAAAAAAGATTACAATTCAATAATGAAAACCTAAATGACCTAATTAAAAATGAGCAAAAGATTTGTACAGAAACTTCATAAAAGGAGACATGTCTAGCTAATAAACACATAACTCCATTAATCATCATGAAAATGGAAATTTAATCCAAAATGAAATATATTATATACCTGTATTATTCTTCTATTGCTGCAATAATAAATGACTACAAAAACTTAGTGTTAAAACACAAATTTATTATCTTACCATTCTGTAGGTCTGAAGTCTGAAATTGGTCTCACTGGGATAAAATCAAGGTGTCAACAGGATTTTATTCCTTTTTGTGTGTTCTAGAAAAGAATCACTTTCCTTGCCTTTTTCAGCTTTTAGAGGCCACCCACATCCTCCACCATGGCCTCCTTCCCCTGTCTTCAAAGCCGCAACAGTGGCCTAAGTCCTTCTCATACTGCCATCTTGCTGGTCCTTCTTCTCTCACCACATCTGCCTATCACCACGGCCAGGAAAAGTTTCCCACTTTTTATGACTCATGTCGGTCCAACTGGATAATTCAAAATAATCTCCCCATGGTAAGGTAGGTCCTTAACTGTAAACCTTTTTTGCCATATAAAGTAATGTATTTATAGGTTCCAGGGATAGGATATAGCCTCTTTTCTGGGGGGGGGGGAGGGCATTATTTTGCCTGCCACAATACTTACCATAATGATTAATATTAAATTGCCAGACAATACCAAGTGTCAATAAGAATGTGGAGTTACTGGAGTTCTTATAACATTGCTTGTGAGAATGCAAATGTACAACCATTTTGGAAAACAGTTTGGCAGTTTCTTTCACAGTTTAAAATGCATTTACTATATAACTCAGCAATTCTACTCATATGTATTTATCCAAGAAAAACGAAAACATATGTCCACAAAATTCTTGTTCGCAAATGTTCACGGCAGCTTTATTCATAATGACAGAAAATTTGGAAAATCCCAAATGTCCATTAACATGTCAGTTGATGCAAATGGTGGGATATTCACAGAATGGATGCTACTCAGCATTAAGAAAAAACTACTGATTTATGCAACAATGTGAATGAATTTTTAAAAATCCATTATGATAAAAAAGAAGCATATGGATTGTTTCCATTTATAAGAAATTATTTAATTTAAAAGCCCTTGATCTATTGTGACAGAAAACAGACAAATGGTTACCTTGTGCTAACCATAGTGGGTGGATAGATTGTAGCCAGGCTAGAAGTAATTAATGGTCAATCATGTGAACACATTTGTCATAATTCATGAAGCTATATACTTAAACTGCATTCATTTTATTGTATATAAATTATTCCTCAATGTGACTTTTTAAAAAGATATAACAAACAATGCAAAAAGGAGTAAGCCAAACTGATGAAATAAATAGCATGTTAAACACAGCTGAAGAGAAAATTTATGAATAATAAGGGGAAATAACACAAAATGATACAAAGTGATGGAGAAAACTATTTTTAAAAAGAGGTTAAGAAGTAAGAAGACTAACGTCTAAGGATCCATAAACCTTTGATATGACTTCTAGAAAAAAAAATAGAGATAATAGGGATAAGACAATATTTAAGGACTGATTTAAGCCAATATTAATGGCCCAAGTTAATCAAAGACATGAATCTCAGACAGGGTAAATAAAAGAAACTCAGACATAACATATTGAAATTAAAGAATGCCAAAGATAAAGAAATCCCAGAAGCCATCATCATTTAATACTTTTATGTGTGTTAATTTTAGATTTCCCTTTAATTCCTGTCTCCCAAATGGATTATAAATTGCTTGGATGAAGAAACCAATCTCATTCACCACTTGGAATAGTCTTGATGGTGTAGTGGTTAAGATTCTGGAATCAGAATGTGGTTAGAATACCTGATCTACCACGTATTTACTATTTGACCTTTAACTATTTGACCTAATTGTATTTAAATCAAACTTAAATACAATTTTCTCATCTGTAGAATAATAGTCCTTTGTCCTAGAGTTATTGTAATGTTAAATGAGATAGCACACATCAATTTATACCAGGATAATTATCACATAAATGGCAGCAACTGATGTCAATTGAACCAGGTGTTTGTAAACTTAGTTAATTTATTACCTACTTACCTATCATTTATTAATTACCACCTACCCTTTATTAATCATATAACTCTGGATGAGTCACTTAAGCACTCTGTATCTAATTTAGTTAGAAAAATTGGGATAGTCATACTACAAAAGATTGTGGTAAGAAGAAAATGAGTTAATAGCTGTGAGAATCTTATCAAATTTAAAGTTATATGAAAATGAAAGGCTATTATTATTATCTCAACTTCTTCTTTAAACTGTATTTTGAATGCAGCTACTAGCCACAGCGAGGTGTTGGGAAAAGTATTGGGAAAAGTGGTTGCTGCCTCACAGTCTTACAATTTAACAAGAGAGAGTAAGAATACAAAAATGAATAAAACCACCTATGACAGAATCATTTAAATACAAGTAATCCCAGGGATAAAACCGACACACTAAGGATGGTTTCTGGAGGTCTTTGCAGCTTCAGAAGCCAGGCTGAATTACACTGGGAAGCCTTTTGTTAATACCACGGTTTACTCCTTCAAGCAAAATTCTTTGTCCTGGAAGCTTTTTCTAAGCCCCAGACTTAGTAAAGTGCCTTCTCTGTTCTTCTCCCGCATACACTCTACTTTATGGGTATTATTTGCTTATACTTCTATCTTCTCCAGTAAGAGGGATTACAAAAGCAAAAAATTATGGATTTCCAATTATATTTCCAATCACAGTGCTTAACGCATAGTAATCACTCAATTAAATGGCAACTGCTGCTATAGCAAATATAGTAACTGCCTTCAGGGAGCACATAAACTAGTCACAGGTATGTAAACAAATAATTGTTGAACATATTTGATGCATGTCATAGTGGCAGCATGGAACAAGTAGAAGTTTAGCACAAAAGAGGAAGTAATCCACTCATCTTATGGCAGTGGTCCCTGACCTTTTTGGAACCAGGGGCCAGTTTTATGAAAGAGAGTTTTTCCAGGGACAGTGGTGGGTGGGATGGTTTTGGGATCATTCAAATGCATTACATTTATTGTGCACTTTATTTCTCTTATTATCATCACATGCTAATATATAATGCAATAATTATACAATGCACCATAATGCAGAATCAGTGGGAGCTCTGAGTTTTCCTGAAACTAGATGGTCCCATCTGGAGGTGATAGGAGAAAATGATACCCAAAGTGTGTTGCACATGTCCAATTTACTCTATAATCTTGTTTTGGTTGCTGTCACTGCAGAAAAACCCTGCTTCATAAAGATAGGACATTGGAAATGGAAGCAGGCTTTTCAGTGCTTTTGTGGCAATCTCAGGATATTCTGCCTTCACTTTAATCCAGAACATACAGAGATTTGAAGTTGTCTTGAAAATACTTTTAAGGCACTGTCATTTGTGATCTCAAACAGTTGATCCTCTTCTAACACAAAGTCGACTCACCTGGCTTATTCACAGGTGGGTTGCGGATCCATTCCTTCCCAGTTCAGGGATCTTTTGTGGTTGGGAAATCATGCTCAAAGTCTTTCTAAAGCAGAGATAGGTGGTCATGCACCAGCTGGGAGAAAGAAGGCCCTGGCTCAGTCTCTTTCAAAACCTCTGCTAACATTTTGAAACATGTCAAAAATCCTAGTATTCACTCATCATTCCCATAATTCCAGTTTGGCTTTGAATGCAGCCACTCTATCTGCTGACTTGAACACAGTTGTCGTTCTCCCCTGAAGCGACAGATTTTGTTGAGCAGGTCGAATATGTCACACAGCTAAGCATGTTTTGTGACCCATTCTGTGTCACTGGAATGTGCTGTCAGTAGTGACTATTTTTCCAGGAGAAATCTCTGGAGCAGCTCTCATAACTCAAAAACTGTAGCCAGTGATCTATCTTTAGAAAGCCATCTCACTTCTGTATATTAGAGAAGATACATATGCTCTGCGTCCATCTCCTCACAGAACTGCACAAACAGACGTGAGTTAAGAGCATGTACATTAACATGGTTGATAATTTTAATCATGTCTTGCAAAATGTTGTTTAATTTGGGTGACATTTTTCAGCTAGACAGCATTTCTCTATGGATGACACAGCACATAGACTGACATTCAGAAGTGACCTCCTTGACCCAAGTAGTGAAACCAGAAATCTGTCCAGTGATGGCAGCTGCTCTGTCCATGCATATGCCAACACAAAAATGACCATTTTCCTGATATGTAATCCTGCAAAGACTTGAATATAGTTCTATAGCTGTGGTGTTGGTTGGCAACAAAATTGCACATAACATGTCCTCATGCACATCCTCCTGAGAAATATATCTCACAGAAACTAGCATTGTTGCCTTGTTGTCAACACTGGTAGACTCATCAACCTGGATTGTGTACCATGGTGACTCATTAATCCTCTCTAACAATTGTGCCTCAATATCCTCTGCTATTTCATCAGTTCATCTAGTTACGGTGCTAGCCAAAAAAGGAACACGCACCACCTTTTGAACTGAAGTCTCTCCTAAAAGTTTATGGCAAATTCCTTAAGCAGCAGGCAGGATCAACTCTTCACCAATAGTTAATGACTTCTTAGCTTTAGCAATGTGGTTAGCCACTGAGAATGATGCTCTCAGTGCAGACACATTTGATGAGGTGGTGGCCTTCAATAATTGCTTCTGTTCTTCCTGTTCATGTTTTTTTCTTTTGAAAACCTCCAAAGATTTGTCTTTTAATGGAGGATGCTTAGTCTCATGTGGCAAAACAGTTTTGAAGCTTTCATGGTTTCGTTGGATAGCCGGTCACCACATATTATACAAAGCAGGTTTGGAAAATGTGAATCACCTATTGCAATGAACCCGTAATTTAAGTGGGATTCTTTGTATTTTCTTTTAAATGCAGCTTTTATTTTGTTGGCAGTTTTAGAGTCTTCTGCTGTCTCATCATTGGGTCTTTCCCCCTTTTCAAAGAAGCTCTCCAGTAACATTTGATTTTTACTCATTTTTGCTAGGGTTAGCTTGTGGGCCTACCAAAACTGTGACTGAGACAAGTGTGCAGTGCACGAAAGAGGCGCAGACAGAAGTGGTAAATAAAATAATGGGCAGGCCATGCACAGACTAAAATAAGTGTCAGATTCTGACTTTAAGCCTGCCACTAGATGCAGCTGCACAACTGAAGTACATCAACTCCCTTGCCACTATAAAGTCTGCCACCAGGTGAAGCTTAATTGTCACTTGCCACTCACTGGCAGGGTTTTGATATGAGTCTAGAAGAAGTTGATTTATTATTATTATAGTCTCTGTGCAGTCAAACCTATCTGCTGATGATAATCTGTATTTTCAGCTCATGTCTGACCCACGTAAAAAATCCCAGTGCTCGTTCACTCGTTGGCCCCATAATTCCTGCACTAGCATCACCGCCTCAGCTCCACCTCATATTATCAGGCATTAGGGTCTCATAAGGAACACACAACCTAGATCCCTCGAATGAGCAGTTTACAGTGGGGTTCGTGCTCCTATGAGAATCTAATACCGCTGCTGATCTGACAGGAGGCGGAGCTCAGGAGGTGATGCAAGCTATGGGGAGCAGCTGTAAAAACAGATGAAGCTTCAATCTCCAGCCTGCTGCTCACCTCCTGCTGTGCGGCCCAGTTCCTAACAGGCCACAGACTGGTACTGGTCTGCAGCATGGGGCTTGGGGACCACAGTCTTATCGGATAGACGCTCAGAGCAGGATTCACAAAGGATGAATAAAAATTTGCTTAACAGAGAGCATAATAAGGATATTCTAGCGAAAGCAATAGTATATACAAAAGATACAAAAGTATGAAACATCATGATATATTTAGGTAACTGCAAGTAATTTGATATCGAGAATTACATTTGAGTCGAGGAACAGTGAAAAATAAGTCTGAAGAAGCCAGCAAGGGCAAGATCATGGGGACCCTGGTATAAGATAGTATGGGATTTGGTTATTTCCTGCAGGCATGAAGAGCCATGGACATATTTTAATATAGGTAAGTCATATGTTGAGATTTATTATTTCTAGCAATGTAAATTGTTCTATATTTTATCCACATAACAACAAAAACAGAGAGGCAAGAATTACATTTTAAAATTCTATAAATATACTGCTTTTAAATTTCAATCCTGATTTGCTCCAAGAGCACACAGAAAATTCTTTACCTTGTGACTGCCCTTGGGATGTCATCAAATGGCCATTGTGGTCCAAAGAGTCCACATCCGTTGGCTATTAATGCAGTCATCTTGCCACTTTTTAAATTAATTGGAGCTCACGTTGCACATCTTAATGCAAAAGAGATTTCAGTTAAAAGGACCCTCTCTAAAATACATCCTCTTCCTGATGATGGTAACTTCTGTTTTCAACTATTATGACATAGGATACTAACTATGACATCATTGTGTTGCTCCAAGGGTCATGATAGGGAGTGAAGTGGCCCACTAGGATAATGAATAATAAATTCTTATGTTTTCTCCTTCCCCAGATTTGCTCACAGCCTGAATAATACTTTGAGGAAATAGTTACATGATACACCAACCTAATGATCCTTAAATACATACAGTCAAATGAGTATATTATCCAGTATAAATAATAGATGTGGGTTTAGTCACAATTCCTACATGCACACACACATCCCCTATGTTTGTGAATTTGCATATGTTTCTTTATATTAATATATACATGTCCAAGTATAAGCTTTTTGCAAGGGAGCATAGCTACTTTATGCTTCCATGTGTGTTCTTTTGCAGAGATGCACATGGCATGGTGAGGAAGGAAGAGGGTTCTGAGTATATCCAGCCTGATCAGCTGTATTTATTAATTTAACCAAAATTTGTAAGCAGAGTTTGCTTTAGAGTTGGGGATGCAAAAATTAATAGACATAGTTCCCGACTTGAAGAATTGTATCTAAACCCAGTAGATTGTTCACAAAGTGGACAAACAACTGCAATATAAAGCAATACATTCTATGGTAGAGTTACAAAGTGTCTCTGTAGAAACCAAGGAAGAGATAACTGAAATCATTAGACACTTAATGCCTACTAGGTGCCAGGCATTCTCCTAAGCATTGAGGCTATAAGGAGAAGGGGATCCAGACCTTAACCTATAAGAGTCACAATCTATGAATAGGCAATCAGGGAACGTGTAATTGTCTCAGCATATTTCCCACATACCCATATCCTTAGTCTGGCTTTTGTTTTTTCTTCCTGGATTCTGTTATTTTTAAATTGTTATTACTTATTAATTTTGTTCTTATAAAGAAGATGACTTACCATCTCTTTTCTATTTATTGCTTCAATTCCATGATCTCTCATAGCAATAGAAATTTCATTTGAGTTAGAGATATTAAGTGGTTCATATACCTTATTCAACACACATTTGTTTAGGGCATATTATGTGTTCCAGGCACAATTTAGAGCTAAAATAGTAGCCCCAAAGATCATCTGACAGGACAGATAAGTTCAGGCAATGGCTACATTAGCATCCAGGGGTTTCCTGTGAAGCCCTAGCAGCAGAATTAGAATATTTTTAGAACTGGAAAGCCCATGACAACAACTGCTGCACGCCTCTGCTGGAATAAGTTGAAGGCACTTTGGTCAGCAAGAAGTGCTCCCTCTTCACCTCTTTAAGAAAGGCATTGCCATAACATAAGTGTTTGTGACATACCCTCTGGGTCGTTAAGAACAGAATCAGAACTGCCAGTTCATTCCAGATTAGTTCCTAGCAACTGCTAGTTGGCAATAATAACTTTGAAGTTGGGTGAAGAAATGAATCCATGCTTCCAGTGATGAAATATATTTTGCTCCAGTGGGTGACATAATCCCAGCTTTTGAAGTATGAGGCCAAAATTAAATCAAGTCTCTTAAAATTTGACTTTAAACTTTTAACTTTTATTTTCCTTTCTTCTCTTCTTTTTCCTTCTCTTCCCCACTTGTTTTTACCTCCTTCTTTTCCTCCTTCCCTCCCTCCCTCCCTCCTTCCTTCCTACCTTTTTTCCTGTGTGCAGGCAGCACAGCACATGTGTTATAGAAATGACCACACATTGGAAACAGAATTGTTTGCAATCTTGGAAACTGCCAAATCCATTTTTCTTCAATATAGTCATTACAATATCAGGGGAAGAAATAGACACATATCAAAGGCACTGAGAAATGGTGGAAATAAGTCAGAATCTTTCCTGTATTTGTTAGTGACAAAAACAGATTTAAAAGTCATTTTGTTTTAGTTCGTACTTCAATACCTTGTCCATATTGCCTATTTTATTTTATTTTATTTTATTTTATTTTTTAAAGGAGGGAGCTAGAAAATAATATGGTGGTACTCCAAGCTTGTCAAATTGTGAAATGCTTCTCTCTACTCATTCCTCTTCCTGTCTGTCCCCTTCATTGGCATATGAATTTCTTTTTCTTTCTAAAGGAGTCAGACATTTGAGAGGTGGTCAGCATTGTTCTGAATAAAAGATGCTAGGATGCCATCTCAAGAACAAAACGAAGTGAACAAAATGCTGCTCATCCTCATATTTGATGCCATTTATTCACATTTGTTCTCCCCAGGGCATGGTGATGTGTATTTCTCTTTAAACAGTCTCTTGAGTGAATCAAAGAATTTCCACCATAACCCGATGGACATGCCCATGAAAATTCATCCTTCTGAAGTAAAGAAGCATTAACAGCTTAAACATTTTTAGCAAGGTTGGTTTTCTTTTACTTTATTAAAATATTTTCATAGGTTCCAGAATGCCTTTTGTTTTTAGACCTTGAGATGTTGAGTTAGGATTGATTCCAAGGTGATTCTGCTGCCAGTGCATTTTCGTGTATAATACCATTAAAATTGAACAAATAAGAAAAGTCTGAACTGGAAAGTCAAATATAAACTGAAGGAATGCATTCTACTTTTTCATTTTGCTGGTCAATTTACTCAAAGCAAAGAAAAAACAAAGCAGGCCATAGACAGTGCTCAGTAAATAAGTTTTGAATGAATATTTATAGACAAGGAAAGAAATTTCACCAGCTAAATGTAAACTTACTGGTATTTTGTTATAAAGTAGTAGGTTCTGCATTTACATTTTCACATGTATGTGAATACAGTGAAGATTACGTAGAAATTGGGATTTTTACATTTTTTTTTCTCTTAAAGGATACTGTTCCTCATGGTCAGAGTAATTGACAAGAGGAAAGATTGGATGATTGCTTTTCAGTTACTTCCACCTTAGTATTATTTCTATTCTACTGGTTTCTGCTGGCTCAAGGATATCTACTTTATTACATTAAAAAACTCTATATAGTTGTATTGAGGGTAAGGGGATGAATATTTATTGGGAGGATACTATGGGATAGGCACTAACAGAAACAAAATTATAAAAGGAAAAGTGATCCATGGTTTATAGATGAGAAAATAGAGATAGTTTGTACAGGTTAGCAGAGTCTAAATTATTTTTGTAAAATTTTTCTTTATTTTATTTTTACCTTTTTATTATAAAATAAAACACAGATACAGAAAACCATACAAGTCAGATGAAAAGCCTGGTGAATTATTATAAGGCAAACACCCTTGTAACCACATCAAGACAGAATTTTGTCAGCTACCCTAGAAGCTCCTCCATGTGCCCCTCCCAATGTTTTTTTTCCTCCAAAAATAATCTCTATCCTGACTTTTATACCAGTTACATCCTAGTTTATCAAGTTCAAAGCCATGCGTAGGGCCCTATAATTTATAGTTTAATTTGGCTAGTTTAAAAAACTTGATACATCTCCTGTCTCTTTTAAGATTTTTCCTCTCTCCATTTCTCTTCCTTATACTATACTGTGTTGAAGAACCAATACTATGACCTGTGGATTTTCCATATTCTGCATGTGTTGACTGCACACTTATGCTACAGTTTGTTTGTTTTTTCCTGCAAATGTATTTTGTGCTAATCAGCAGCTGAGTCCAGAGGATGATTAGACTTATGTATGATCCTTTTGGTAAGTAATAAATGGTGTTGTATTATTTACTCAGGGAACACAGAGTAACTGATGTTCACTTCTTTTTTATGTTAGCAATCACTGATTGCTAACATCAGAGCCCACCAGGCTCTACTCAATGTTTCTGTGGTCATTTGGTTGTCTGAAGCTCATTCTGTAGTATATTCCTTAGGAAGTGCTCCTGGGAATGACATCCATGATGTCTTTCACTTTTGTAATAGTTCTCTATGCTTTTTAGACTTGAAGGTCAGTATTACTGGTTATAAAATTGTTGGCTCACATTTTCTTTGCTTGGGTACCTTAAATATGTTGCTCTATTTTCTTCTGGCATAAAGAGTTGCTGTTTAAAAGCCTACTAATAATCTAATTTCTTTTCCCTTAGAAATCATATATTTTTTGCCTAGAAGGCCAAAGATTTTTTTTTTACTTTAAAAAAAAGTCCAGTAATTTTACTATGGTATGTTTTGATGTTGGTTATTGTGCATGGATAGATTCAGTTACATGGAGTACTCTTTCAACGTAAAGATTCACATTCATTTTTATTTCAGGAAATTTTTCTTGAACTGTAGCTTTTATTATTCTGTTTCTTACTTGGGTTTTCAACTTCAGAGACTCCAACTGCTCATATGTTAGATTTGCTTTGCCTATCTTCAATATTTGTCATTTTCTCTTAAATTCTTTTTAATTCTTTCTTTATGATTTTATTTTTTCTTATTATGATTTCTGTTTTTGAATACATTATTTTGGCATTATTTACCCATGTGTTCTAGTATATGTGACATTTTTAAAGGAGTTTAAATTTCTAATTCTTTCTTGAGTTGTATCAGCTTATTTCTGAGTTTTCTGCTTTTAATTTATGTTACTCTTTCATGTTTTATATCATTTTATTAATATAGTTTTAGTTCTTTTGAAATAATATATTGCAGTTTTGATTTTTCTCTTTCCCTCTTATGTCTTTCTGGTATGATTTCATTGTGAAATCTCATACATTTCATTGTATGAGATTTGACCTTGATATACTTTGTTGTTTGCTTTTTATGAAATTAATTTTCCTGGGCTTTTAGAAAGTAGTATCTTTTCTAACTTTACCATTGCTGCCGTTTGCATACAGTCTTTAAAAATACAGCATCTTGCTTTCTGAGATTTCCTAGCTCTGTTCCCCTTCCCACCTTTTATCTGTATCTTCTTACCTTCATCTCTATCGACTCTTTCTTGCTAAATTATGCTTCCAATCTGAATAGTTTCTCCTCGATATGGAGCCCTGTGCTGGGGCTGCCAGGAAGCTCT